TCAAACGAAATTCAATCTGCTTCTTCCTATGCGTTATGGAATGTTCTGTAAATTTCCTTTCCATAGTGTTGTAAAAGTGACTGCCACCTGCTTGCTACCACCAGCTTGCCCAATATCCATTGTCGCACTGGCTTTATGCAAGGAAGAGGGCTACCTTCTTGAATAACAGGTTGAGGTCAGTGATCCTGTTGCTAATATAACTGAAAGAGGAGGAAGAAGGGGCAAGAGATCTACACTATCACCATTACCTAGCAAGGAAGCAAACCAAATATAAGGGACATGTATGTATGGGCTGCTCTACCAGACCCTTGTGACAATTATCTATTTAATGCATGGTAAAGGAAATTTGGAAGAATGCTAATAGTAAGCCACTTGAAACAGAGCAGACTTTTGCTACATCATTTCAATCATGGGAACTGTGCTCAATCTACAAACGAGAGCCCCGAGCGCAGGAATCCATCCCCTGAGCCCTAGAAATGCTTCTAATTACAGTACAAATGAGGGAAGTGAACAACTGAAGCCAACTTGTCATCTGGAGATAGGGTAAATGCAGTCTATAAGAGTTAGCTGAGACCTTACAAGTATTGGTTGTCTGGCTCCCAGAAACACATAGCAGTTTAATGGACAAAGTGAGAAAATGTGGAAGGAGCCTCGTGAAGCATTGGTTAAACTGCTGTAAAACATTGAGGACACTGCTCATAACCTGAGCTTCATCCGGGGCTCAGGTTTGAGGTTGACTCAACCTTTTATGCTTCCAAGGTCAGTATACTGATTATTCAGCTCACTGGGAGTGGGGGGTGGGGGAACAATCTGTAGTCTGCATAATTCAATTGTAAACCATCCAGAGCTTGAAGGACTATAGAGTGGTATATAACTAGACACTTTGGTTTGGGAAGTAAGGTGTTCTTATTTTCATGTTTGCTACCCATGTCCCCCTTTTAATTCTTCCTACCTGAGAAGGATGCCAGTAGGCTAGCAAAGAGAGACATACACACTGCTTGTAAAGCACTGTATTGTATTTCACAGAACCAAACCCACTCTGCCCCTTACTCTCCTGGTTTTGTGTCTAGAAATCTGCATGCAAGCCGAGGTGCCGAGGAAATTGTCTCTGGGCAATGTTTTCCAGCAACCCAGGTTAAAGTGCTGTTTTTTTCAGGTCCATAACAAGTGACAAGCAAGGCAGGGAACTGAGAACTGCTCGTCCATCCTTGACAGCTACTCACAGGTACCTGTTGCTGTTAAAGAACTTAGCTCCTCCTAAATTGAGCCCAAATTACTGTAGATATTCTTTTTTGTGTGTGTGAACATTAAGGCAGAGGTCCCCAACCCCCGGCCTGGTGCCGAGCCATGGCCTGAGCCGGACCAGGCCGAGAAGACAGACCTCCGCCTCCCCGCAAGCACTCCCCTCCCTACAGCTGCTTTGCGCACGTGCGCGCATGCCAGTGCCGGCGTCAGTGCTCTGCCACCCCTTCACGCATGCATCCGAGTGCCTAAGCACCATCACGAAGGGGTGGGTGGGTGAGCAGGCGCCCCGCGCATGTGTGAAGGGGTGGGGGAGCACTCACACCGGTGCTGGCGGGTGCTCCCCCACCACTTCGTGCATGCGCCCAAGGGTGTGTGCGCACCCGCGCGCACCTGCAGGCCGACCTCACCTTCCTCAGAGGCTCAGCCCGTCCGTGGTCCCAAAAAGGTTGGGGACCGCTGCATTAAGGGACAGACAAGTTTTAACAACCCTTTTTTAATTTATAAGGAGCTCCTGTGCTTTACTTAAACATGCCTCTTGTATTGCTGGACATGTTACACAGCACCACATCTAAACTTGAATTAAAGGCTACATTTTTACTGTAGAAATCAAATTGGGATTTTTCACAAGCTCACTGGAGAGGATGAAGCAATACACAGCATTCTACGTCAGAAAAGGTGGCGGTGGGGGGAGTTCTATAGTAAAGTGAAAAATAATAAAGCTGATTCAACTGTTTCTGGCTCTTTTATAAACAAGAACTCTCCCCACCGCCCCCTTTTCTGATGTAGTCTCTGAAACTTTTTTTAAAGTCTTTAGCAGCTGGTGAGCACAAACCTAAAATAGTAAATTCTTTCTATAGGATCTAATTTTCATGGGGCCTGTGATGGCAGAATACTTGGAAAAATCTGGTTCAGATATTAATGATAATACAGGAAAGGAAGAGTGTGTTGCTTTCTGCTTCTGATCATGGGAACATATTCATTTTTCATAGGGAAGAAGTGCAAGTCCCTGCTTCAGATATCAATGCTACATTAGAAGGGAAGAGTAACATGCATGATGACATTGCACTGAGAGTGCACAGAAGGTAGAATAGGATCTTCTCTTAGATCTCTGACTGTGGATTGCAATCCATGGGTAAGACTATTGATTCCCAGTTGTTTAACAGTTAGCAACAAAATCACACCCTCCCCTGCCCTAAATGATCTACCCTGTTTCCCTGAAAATAAGACCTAACCTGAAAATAAGCCCTAGTATGATTTTTCAGGATGCTCATAAGCCCTACCCCCAAAATAAGTCCTAGTTAAGTGAAAGCCCACCCTCCACCATTGTGCAGCAAACAGAAGAAGACATGACTGTATTTGAGTAAACGTTGATGGTTGTACTGCACATGAAAAAAGTAAAGCATCCCCTGAAAATAAGCCCTAATACGTTTTTTGGACGAAAAGTTAATATAAGACCCTGTCTTCTTTTTGGGGAAACACGGTAGGTTGGACTGGATTTTTGTATGGACAGACTATGAATGTATCAACAGATATGAATGTCATTCATGCCTGTAAAATAAAACAAATCACTTGGTTCACAATTCTTAAATGCTACAACCCCTTTCAGATATTCAGAAAGCAAGCACAGGAAGAGAGTTCTGGTGTGTGGAATTTCTCCATGCAGCTATTGAACCTGACAGTAGAGATTAGCAACTCCAGTTCCAGAGGGGCAGGGGAATCCTCTCCAGGTCTGTTTAAACGTTACAACAGCCATCCAAGGTTCTAAGTCCCATACTCATCCCCAAACAAGTCTGCATACAAGATGACACTTCTCCAAACTGTCCTTCACATGGAGACAACAACAGGCAGGGTGTGGGGTTAAAACATTCAATGCCTGTGCCTTCTTATTAAGGCTTCTAAAAAGAGCACAAATAGGGCTGCCATGTAGATCTCTTTACTTGGCTCCAACCGGTGGATCTTGGAGTTTCAGTAAAACAAAACAAAACAAAATGTAGATCCTGGGAGCCTGGTGTAGGTCCTTGAAGACTGTTTATACCTTGAAAGTGCTCTGGGAATCCCTTGCCACTAGCTTAAAGGAGCCCAGCCAAGATCCTAATGTATGCAAAGCATCCATACCATCAGTGAGATACGAATGCATCTACAAGCAAAAATTCCTAGACCCAATATATTTAAAGTTCAAATTTAAAAAGCTCACTTAAAAAAACCTGAAAAAACTATAGTTCAATTCATTTTAAATAGTATTTGTTAAATTTCTAGTTTAAAACAAACAACAAATATTTGCCCACACCACATTCATTAGATTTTAAACCTTACTCTCATATTTCCTGCTGACATTCTTTTTTTAACTAATAACACATAGAGAAAATGCAAGAATCAGTAGTGCAGAAGTTCACCAAAGCTGTCAGTGACCTTGATTCTACCACTGAGTTTCAATAAAGAGAAGCAGGAGGAGCCATTAAGTCATTCAGGCAGCTTCACAACCCCAAACACTGTTGACCTCTCTAGTCTTTCCCATGATTAATTAAGGCCAGTGAAAGTATAACAAAGCAGAACATTTCTGCAGCTATATTAATCTCTACACACAAAAGGGCTGCAGTGTTATGACTACCACTCAATCCAAGTCCTGATAATCAGAGGTACTGGAATGAGACCTTGGATCTATCTCTATCCACCATAAAGCATGTATGGGAAAGGACAAAGGGAGAGCTGCCTAGAATGAATAGCCAAACACAACACAGATAGTCCCACATTGTTGAACACTGCAATCATGTCTACATAACACAGGTAAGACTGTGCCATTAAATTGCATAGACCTGCCAATACTGATTAAAGCAACGTGTTCTATCAGGCTGCCAGTAGCCATGGCCAAGACAGAAATTTTGCATTTCACTGTTTTATGTAGTCAACAATTGTTTTGTTTTTGATACAACACACTAACATAACTCTCCCTGCTCATGAAAATCAACAGCTGTTAAGTTCTCTGCAAAACAACCTAATGATTTTGGTTTTATGTAAAGCCAAAATCAATTTTTACACCTTTAGGATCAGGGTACAGCTTGCACCATTTCTGCCTAATTTGGGACCACGAAAGCTTAATGATAATGTACAAAATTACTAGCAGAAACGTAACACAAAACATACAGGGCGAGTACTGAGAAATAATGAGCAGGACATACAGTATAAATGAGCTGTTATTTCACAGCTTTGACTTAGGGATGAATTTCTTTATGAAGACAAAACTTTCCTACTATACATCACCACCACCTCCACCATAATCTAATAATCAATCCCTATGTTGCTTCATTTGTTTTGTTGTGCTAGTAACACAGATAGCTGCTGTCCCCAGTATACAGAAGATCAGCTAGAGATTCAGTAATAATTTTGGTCTATGACAAAGCAATACATGGAAAAATATGATAGATCTATAGAAGAGACGACTCCTATGCAAGGCATTTGAGGGTACCTGTTGAGAAGGTTTTCACACATGAGGTTTAATTTTATTTTGAGACTATAACGTTCACAGGTGATGATGGCATTGTTTAACATATCTGAAGTGCACCAGCTCAGGAAAGGATATTCCAGAGCAAAGGTGGACAAAATATAGTTTTTCAGATGTTGATCAGCAGTTCCCTGCATTCTTCATTTTTGGCTTTGCCACCTAGGACTGACGGGAGTTAAAGTGTAACTACATCTGGAGGATTGTACAGTACTTGCTCCTCCTCTCAGTCTTGTAGGATGTCCCCACCCCATTTTACCTTCTGTCGCTGCTGAATGTTGCTCATAGTGTCCGGCTGGAATTCCAGTTTGTCCGTGCGGCAGAGTTTCCAGTATAAAATGATTATGATAAGCAGCACTACAGCCACAGGGACAGCAACACCGACAATAATCCAAAGATTGTTCTGTGATTCTGGAGGAGATTCTTTGACTCTATCCACAGCTGCAAAAGAAATTGGGAATAACTCACATTTTTAGTTGCCACAGCTGAGGCCATTCCAATGTTACAGTGAAACAAAACCAGTGTATTCATTGAAAGATTCTGTACATTTTAAGAAGACGTGTCAAAATTGGAACATGTGTAGCAAGATGACACCAGGTGGCCTGTCCCAACCTCTGCTTCAGGTGTATAAAACATCTGGCCATCCAGAACCTTTGGACTACAACTTCCCCAGCTCTTAGGACTGGGCTTAACTCTGACTTCACTGGGTGAGGTTAATAGGAGCAAACTTTACCCATTCTGTGCCTTATTTATTTATTTATTTATTCGATTTTTACCCCGACCCTCTAGACAACGTCTACTCGGGGCGGCCACTGAGGAGTATGCAAGACTGGCAAAGCTGGCTCCCAGTGCCAAGTACCAGGATATTCCACTGCACTGTGCTTCCTGATGATTCCCCCTCCACCACATTCCCAATAGCAGAACGAGCAGCAGACGGTGACTCCCTGTTATTATCTTCAATACCTATTCAGAGATAACAGTGGAGTCCCATTCTCCTTGCTCTCTCTCTGCAACTGGGCTTTCAGGAGGAGAAGAGATTCCCCAAATTCTTGGTGGGACGGACTGGGACTGCCAATGGCCTGTATTCGCTGGCTGGATAGCTCAGTGGTTTAGGTATCTGGCTGCAAAGCCAGAGTTTGATTCCCCACTGTGCCTCATGTGAGTAGAGCCAGCCTGTGTGGCCTTGAGTGAGCTACACAGTCCCAGGGCACCCCAAGAAGAAAGGAATGGTAAATCACTTCTGAGCGTTCCCTACCTGGAAAACCCAGAAAAGGGTCACCCTAAGTCAGCATTTACTTGACGATGCATGATCATTGTTGTTATGGGCTGTACTAGGCTCATGGGCAGAAGACATGGACACAATCCTGACCATGAACCAAGAAAGTAGTTCTTGTTTCTTTTACTCCGGCACTACTGTAAGAGGTCTGATGCATGCAGTTTCTCAATGTGACAACATACAAAGATTGGCACAAAGCCACTAATGAGAGAGGCACAACTGCCCCTTGACCCTGTTAGCATTCTACAATGAGGAAGGCAGGGAGGACAGGATTGCTAAGAAAAGATTTCAGAGAAATAGCCTTGTCTGCCTGTCTCAGCTACAACGGCAGCAACAAAACACCTTGGCACCTTCAAGACTAACAAATGTATTTCAGTGTGAGCTTATATCAAGGTACAAAGAAGTGGTTTGCGATCTACAAAAGGCCACACAAAAGTTTGTTAGCTTCAAATGCATTACGATCCTTTAGTATTTGTTTCTGGAAAAAGTTTGATCATGTCCAACAAATGGCCAGCTGGATAGAGGAGGCTGAATATAATTAGTACATAACTGGAGAGGTATTAAGAACCACAGTAATTTGGGCATCAGCAGCTACAGTAGGACTAGTCTACATGGACTCAGTTGTAGACTGCATCTCAAAATGCTTTTTCAATTATTTAACATCTTGCTAAATAATTTCTTCAAGTGAAGATCATTTTAATACCAGAGTATGGTGGGATAGACTGGGGTTCAAGTCATAACATGACTTTGATTTTAAAAACCTAAGCTTGTTTTGTGAGTATCAGCCTATTACAACACTAACAACATCTAGATGTTTAAGATAAATGTAACAATATATTAAGAAATAGGTAATGTATAACAAGCTTAAAAGCTTACTTTTTCTTCTTTACTATAGCTATACTTACAAATGTAGGATTTGGGAAAACTAAAAATTATGCAAGGCAAATCCCTAACAGTTTTATAAAATAAACATGTATTTATTAAGTATAATCTTGCTCCCTTAATACCAAAAGTCTTTTACTGTCTGTGAAAAAAAAATAAAGCCACTTACATAAATACCTTCAAATTCTTGTAATATGCACTGTCATTATCTGCCAAAAATAAAAGCATAATATCCCATTTACTCCATTTGGAGAGATGCTGACGCTGTAGTGGTTTCCTAAAGACCCATGTGCAAGCAGTAGAACCAGGCTGCCCTTTCAGAAGGATGAAGGTTTTAAATGTGGGAAAGCCTGTTCCATGATCCTGCTTCGGTGAAGAAGCTTCAACAAATATGAGGAACCTTTTTGAGTCTCAAATGTTTTTGACCTACAATAGCCATCAGGGCCACCCATCACGGCAAACAGTAAGGAACTGTGGACATGGTAAACCCAAACCATCTGGAGGGTAAAATGTTCTTCACTATTAAACTATGAGTGTGACAGCTAGACAGTACAGAAAGCTGGGGAGAAAGTGATTTGTTTGAAATGTGGTGCTGGAGGAAAGCTTTGCAGATACCCGGGACTGCCACAAAGATGAACAAATGGGTCCTGAACAATCTCTGGAGGCAAAAATATTGAAATTAAGGCTGTCCTACTTTGAACATATTGTGAGAAGTCAGGGTTCTCTGGAAAAGACAATCATGCTGGGAAATGTTGAAGGCATCAGGAGAAGAAGACGACCAAACATGAGATGGATTGACTCCTTCAAGGAACCCCACAGGCTTGACTTTGCAAGAGCTGAGCAGAGCTGAGCATGTAACAACCATTAATTCCTATGGCTAATCATAATAAATTCAATAGCTATTAGACAGAAACTGGGCATCATAGGTGAGAGTTTCTTTACTGGAAGCCACTGCAACTTTCTCTAGCAAGCGAAGCTGTACCAGACACAGTGGCATGGCCTAGGAGCCATGGGCCATCTGCACACCTTGTAGGCCAAGGCTTGCCTACCCATAGCCTCAGGCAGCCCATTTTTAATGTTATGAAATGGCCGTTGGCTGTTTTATTGTTTATTTGTTGTTCTTGTTTTCTATTTTTGCTCTCAGGGAGGGGGAAAGGTGCCAGTGTCATTTTCTACCTCAGATGCTACTGTAATTTGGCCTTGGGTTCTAGTAACCTTGACAAAAGGAAATGGTTATGCTCCTTCAGGCAGCAGAATAGCTTGGGTGGCCTTTCTCTTAAACACTAGGCTCTTGACACTAGGAAGGATACAAACAGTTCTTCTGTGTTTAAATATTTTTAGCTCAAGGTTTAGTGGTTTAGAGAGCAATCATTCTCAATGGGGGTAATATGGCTCCGGGGGAGGGTCGAGGATTATTTGAAGGGGGCCACAGATTAGAAACAATTCTTCACACACCACCTTATAAAGTTTGTTATGCAAGTTATACAATCCTAATTTGTATTCGCGAAGGCAAAACCAAATCAGGATTGGTTGTTGTGGGTTTTTCGGGCTTCTTTGCCGTGTTCTGAACACGTGTTTTCAGAACACGGCCAAGAAGCCCGAAAAACCCACAACAACCAATCCTGATTTGGTTTTCTTTTTCTTTTTTCATATTGTGTTTATGAAAAGAAGGTTAAGAATGGCTGGTTTAGAGTAGCATTTTACAATCTTGTGTACTCCAGTTGCTTGGGCTACAATGTCCACCATCTTCACCCAGCTCCAGTGCCCATCATCTTCAGCAATATTCCATCATCTTCAGCCACTGGCCATGTAGAGTGGGGATGAAGGAAGTTGTGGCCCAATACATTGGAGGGTGCCCCAATTTAGTGTAGGACGACCAGGTTTGAGTACTTGAATGAGATGTGAGGCATTTGGCTTTAGCTACAAAGCTCAGTGTTGACCATGAGAAGATTCGCTCAACATAATCTATGTTTTTGGAGTACAAAATACTATGTATTCTACAATAAAGGAGGAAAAGCAAGATGCAATTGTGATAATTAATAAAATAAAAATAATACTCCCTCTGGAGCTGGCCCTGTACAGTCACCTTCCAAACAAAGCTTCAGGACATAGCAAGTAAGTAAACAAACTAAAAGAGAGGCATATTTTCCATTAAGACATTATATAACCAAACTCCACACACGCTGTTAAGCTTTGCAAGCCTCTGCACTTCTGAATCCTCTAATGTAGTTTATAACTCCCTGATGTTCAGAGTAATTTTTAATTTCAGCATAGCTCAATTCCATTTTGTTTTATATGTTTTCCTCGTGTTCCTCCCCCTCTTCCACTTTGTAATATTCATTGAAATCACTAATTAATTCTGACACATAGTGGATACATTATGTAAGTGTACAAAAAGTACAGAAACGACAATCCTATTAATAACAGCTTGGCAAAGAAAATGCCATTTAAATCAAGAGAAAGAAAACTGTAGTACATGTTCATGGTCTCCTCAAATACTTTCCCCCAAAATTACAGTGCCTGTCATAATTTCTTTAATTAGTATTTATATGTGATTTCCATTTTTCTTTCTATTGTCAGATTTAACCTAAAGCCAGCAGAACATCCTGCCCTAGAGTAACTACAGCCCACAAAAGCAACCTTAGATCTAGATATATAATACATCAACAAGGGAAGCCATTTGACTAATATTACTACAGGGGGCAAACAACTACGTATGGTGGCAGCCATTTGTAAAGTCTAACTACATGATGAGATCAAAATACAACATATTCCATGGAAGCCAAGGAGGGCTGAAAATTCTTCCCAAAAGGGTCACCTTACATTTATCATGGTTTTTTCACAGGTACTTCCTCCAGGGATGAACAGCATCCATTTGTGATAGCATAGATCCTGCACAAATGTGTTTAGTGGGGACACAGAGACAACCTTCTTTGCTGCTGGCCCCAGACTCTGGAACTCCCGCACACAGGGGGTTAGACTTGACCCACCTTTACTGTCCTTCTACAAGCAGGCAAAGGCCTCTATCTTCAGACAAGCTTTCCCTGAGTGAATGCTACCAAGTACCATGTTTCCCCATAAATAAGACAGGGTCTCATATTAATTTTTGCTCCAAAAACACATTAGGGCTTATTTTCAGGGGATGTTTTATTTTACAATCATGTCATCTTTTGGTTGCTGCACAATGCTGCACAATGGTGGAGAGCGGGGTTTCACTTAACTAGGGCTTATTTTTTGGGTAGGGCTTATATTACAAGCGTCCTGAAAAATCGCCTACTAGGGCTTATTTTCAGGTTAGGTCTTATTTTCAGGAAAACAATAGGTTTTTTAAAATGAATTGATGTACCTTACTGCTTTGAATATACAGTATTTTGGTGTTGCTTATGCTTTTTTGGTACTGTATTCACTGATGCTTTTAGCATTGTATGCTCATTGTTACTAACTTAAATACTGTCTTTTAATTGCTGTAGTCTGCCTTGGGTCCTTTTAAAGGAGAAAGGCAGGTTAAAATATTTTGATTAATAATAAATAATAGAATAAATAACAATAATAATATGATCTTTCTCAGCTACATATCTAAATTTATTGTGTATTGCTTTGTGATTGGAAAGTAAACACAGGGATAATTTGCAAGTTTTATTGCCAACGCATGTATCTCTGAAGAAGTCAATTCTGGAAAGGGAAAAAAGGTTGAGGTGTTTGGAATATGCATTCCAGTTAACAATTAGTTTGACCTATAGGCAAATGTCTTCCATGCAGTTAAAATTCACTGTACTTAAAGGATAAGTTGGAAAATAGCTGCCTATGTCCAATCCACACTTTCTGAAAAATGTTAATTACTTTTCATTGCATTTTTAAGGGAACTCACGCTGAGCCACTGGGCCTTGAATGCGGTATCCTAGAATGATAGCAGCCCTCTGGATATCCACTCTGTTAATCAAATCAGCTGTCTTCACAGCACCGAGCCTTTCACCATCTTGATCCTCCACAAAATAAACCAGCATAACGGGGTTGTCATCTTCCTCTAAGCGTGACACATTCACAATCTGCAAAGAAACATAAAAATGTAGAAGTGTTGAATCAAATGTCTTTTACACCCCAAGAATCCCAATCTCCCAAAACTGCAACTGACATTAGAATACATATTATATTTATTGTGGTATAAAATAAGGGGTTGAGGGGATTATAGGACATTGGTCATGTTCATACGTCACACTGAAGCATAATTTAGTGCATGGGTTTCACTACTATGTCCTTCTCTCCCCACACTTGAAGTTGGGAGAAGGTGTTCGAGAATTTTTACAAATGCTCTTGCTTTTCATCCAAAAATGATAATGGGAAAAAAGGGGCTAATGTTAAGTATGGTTGGTCTGAAACCAGTTTTAAGAATCAGCTCTCTGGCATTTGCCTGTAATGCCAGTGAGTTCTGACAATAATTGTATTATATATTTAGTATTAATCATTTATGCTTTCCACCTCGCTAAGACACCATTTATTACTGAAGACTCTTTCAATAAAAATGTAATACCTTAATTAATTCCAAAGATGTGTGCAAAGAATATCAACCTTCAAGACATTTCTTAATCAATGACCATTTAGAATTCATTTTCACTTTTGAAAGTTTAAGCTAATGAATTGCAAACTACACTCTGATTAGCTTTTCATGTGGTGTCTTTTGTTCACAAAGCAGGCATAACAAAGGAGAACTCTGGACAGAAAACCTCCACCAAAAATATAACAATACGATTATTCTAAAAACATCAAAGATTCCTAAGGTATCATAAACACTAACAAATTCATTGTGACATAAACTTTCATGGGCCGGAAACACTTTCACTGGATGAATTAACTTAGTGAGCATAATTCACAAACAAGAAGAAATAGGGCACCACCTCAAGAGTTACCCATTATTCCAGCTATACGAAATGGTACAAGACCACACAGAAATAAAACACTGCTTATTATCTGTACATGCTTGAGCTGTTTCAATAAAATTATATTATTTGTAGGATCTGCTACATTATCTAACTCAAAACACAAGAAGAATAAATGATACACAAGGCTTCAGTTAATGGGTTTATTTTCTCTTAGCTTCTATCCTCAAAATGTCAAATCTGCAATGGGGTCACCGACAAACCTTTAACTATCAGAGTGGTTCGGGGCTTTGCTGTAAATATCAACTACATAAGCTTTATGCTACAGGCTTTAAAAAGAAAGGAAAACCATGTTTTAAATTCACATTATCAACCAGAAATTATGCTTCTTGGAAAATGTAGTTGGGACAGGAATTTATAACCTTATTCCCTTCCTGTGCCCAATTCTATCCCAACTGAAGTTCAAATACTAAAATTTAATAGAGAATGAAGGAAAGGATACTTGTGCATAAGTGAGGTTAGATGGGATTTTTATTATATACACTCTCTGACAGCTCCATCATTTCTGGTTATCATTACAGCACGTTTAAAAAAACAGCCCTACTAAAAATCTTTTTGAGTGATTTAGAGGGATTTACAGTGCCTTCACTACTAAAATTTAGATGAAGGAGGACTCAAATATGAAAGATTACAACATTGTAGTATAAGCAGCAGTACATTATTTTTTTTTCTAGCACAGGGTGCACTACATTGTTTCACTTGCATGTGCATCTTTAATCTCCAATTTATTTATTTATTTGCTTTTCACATTCATTTGTTTTCAAATGTAGACCCACTCAAAACGACCAAAATCATACCCTCTGAACTGCCAATAAAAGCCATCAAAGCAAAGCAAAATATAACTTACAGTAGGAACACCCTCGCCGTAACCCATGGGATAAGTTAAAACCCGACCCCCCCCCCGTGGATGTGTGTAACTGCAGATAGTAATGGACCCATTAAAAAGAGCAAGAAGCAGAGGAGGGGCAAGAGGAAGGATTTAAGTGTACATGTGCACTTCAGGCTGCGGCAACTGCAGACAGTGAGAGGTGGGAGAAGGGCGAGAAGAGGAAGTAAGTGCTCGTGTGCACATGGGCACTGTGGCTTGGTTGCAGCACAAACATGTAGCATCAGGGGGAAATGTAGCTTTGAAAAGTTACTGGTTGAATGACAGATTGCCTTAGCCAGCGTGGGTAGCATAAACTGCGATAGGGGGTAAGCTTCCAGGAAATAAAGGTGGTATCTTTCTTAAATATTCTCTTAAGTTACAGACTTTTGTGATCATTTCTTCCAATCTTCATGGAAACACAAAGAGAAGTGCTATTTTCTAACACATGTGATATTAGCCTACAATAAGTGAGGGGTGGATATCCTGGAATCTTCTCATTATCTTTGGAGAATGAGGAGGACTCTGGATTGACAGGAGTATGGGATGAGATAGAGAAGAAAAACAAGGAAAAATTCCATTCATATGAAGCAACAACAAAAGTCAACTTAACAAAACCCTTACTCAGTTCAATTAATTTAAATTCTGTTTATGCAAGCCACAATCACAATTAAGAAAAGGAAATTCACCTCACCTCCTCATTACTGGCATCTAAGAAAAACAATACTATTCATGAATCGCAAAGCAAAATATTATGAGATGGATGGGAAATAATAACAAGTTTTGTATGATTTATGTCCTTTCTTCTAGACTTTTGTTCCAGTTCTGTTTAATGTACCTGCACAACATTGTTCCCAGCAAATGTTGCCCTCTTCCATATCCTCCCTTTGCGCAAGGCCTCGTTTAACAACTGGGCCAGCTTCCGTTCCATCTCAGCCTGGAAAACGTCCTCTTGAACTTTCTGATTGATGACACCCAGGACAACTAAGGTGAAATAAATATACAGATAAAAAATCAGTACACAACAAGAGTTTCTCTGAACACGCGGCTTGAAATAATGGAGAAGCCAGACATTATCAGTAAATGGATTGGCACCAGATTGGGAAAGTAAGGGTCTGATAGATTGGGGATTGTTAGCAAATGCATCCCTACTAATTAATACATATCATGATATAGTTATATGCATGTAAGCCCAAAGTTTGGCTACCAATTTTTCCCTTAATAGCACTTGCCCCGTCCTTCTTTTATCCTGTTTGTTGTTGTTTAGTCATTTAGTCATGTCCGACTCTTTGTGACCCCCATGGACCAGAGCACACCAGGCCCTCCTGTCTTCCACTGCCTCCTGGAGTTTGGCCAAATTCATGTTGGCAGCTTCAACAACACTGTCCAACCATCTCATCCTCTGATGTCCCCTTCTCCTCTTGCCTTCACATTTTCCCAACATCAGGGTCTTTTCCAGGGAGTCTTCTCTTATGAGATGGCCAAAGTATTGGAACCTCAGCTTCAGAATCTGTCCTTCCAGGGCGCACTCAGGGTTGATTTCCTTCAAAATGGAGAGGTTTGTGCTCTTTGCACTCCACGGGACTCTCAAAAGTCTCCTCCAGCACCACAGTTAAAAAGCACCAATTCTTCAGTGGTCAGCCTTCTTTATGGTCCAGCTCTCACTTCCATACATTGCCAATGGAAACACCATAGCTTTGACTGTGTGGACCTTTGTCAGCAAGATGATGTCTCTGCTTTTTAAGATGTTGCCTAGGTTTGTCATCGCTTTCCTCCCCAGAAGCAGGCGTCTTTTAATTTTGTCTTTTAATTTCTTTTATCCTATTCCAGAATAAATACCTAGTCCTTCACAACTGTGGGTTCTCTGAATTACTTCTGAACATTATGACCCAGTTTTTAAAAAATATTGGTACAGCTTTTCTGTTTTAGAAAAGATTACATTTAAATGCTTCTTCATGGATATTTGCCAGCTTTATATTTGCATGTCTCTCTTTTGATGGAGATCCTCTGTGCTTCCTCTAATCACGTGACTTTATGTTGGAGAGGCACCATAGGCTTCCATGCAATAACTAGGGCATTAAGCTGAACATGATGGACTTATTTTCCAGGAAGCATGCATAGGATCAGGTTGCACAACATCCAGACACTCCGAGCCTATTAACATCACCATGGGAGCTCAATTACTCTCCATAAGGAACTCTGTCAGAAAGTGTATCTTTGTGGAGAGGCATGATTATTACTTACAGCTTATATAAAATTTAAAGTTATGCAAAAACATAATTGCTAAGCCCTAAAAACCCAGCTCTGCTGCTGGGCAGCCCCTTGTATTTCATTAGGCAGCTGCTACATAAGCGATCTTCTTCTGAATAAAAAAGACAAGTACTTAAGTACAGAAAACACAACAAAGCACTCCATGTTACTTGAAATGGGGCTAGGACTGCAATGAACAAGGACTCCTGCCAAAATAATAGCTCCGTGCTTAGCCTTTCTCCTTGGAGGATGAGTTGGAACCATTTATTCGGTGTTGTGACAATGCTGGATCATGCGAACTGCCCATTCCAGACCAACATTCTGTTCACATTCTGCTCACATAACCCAACAGCTTATAAAGATGGGATTCAACACAACAGCCCACTCCTACCAACGGCAGCTAGAAAGATGGAATATAGGATGGAAAGGTGCACTCGGATGATGTTACACCATGGCATAAATGTAATTATGAGGAAGCAACTCAGCCAGAACTTTAAAAATAACGTAATTATTTTTGGACTATGATACCCTGAGGCTGCCAACCAGTAGAGACACTAGCCATGCTGGCTGTGAGGATTCTGGGTTTTTTTAAAAATCTAAAAGCATAATCTTTCCAAGTTTTGACCTCAATATGAGTACATTATTTCTAGCAGTATCCTATGACTTTTTTACCACATATTTCCACTTTTAAATACCAAGCACAGCATTTTCAGCCTCATGGAAAATTGTTATGGTACATCCTGAATTTCTTTATTCTTAGAAAGAAAGTAATTCAGTAGAGATAACAGTGGTCTGGGCTGAGTTTTATGGCCCATAATTTACACTGTTACCCCGAAAATAAGACCTAACCTGAAAATAACCCCTAGTATGATAGTAAGCCCTAACCCCAAAATAAGCCCCATTGTGCAGCAACTAGAAGAAGATGATGTGACTGTATTTGAATAAATGTAGATTGTTGTACATGAAATAATAAAACATCCCTGAAAATAAGCCCTAATGCATTTTTGGAGCAAAAATTAATGTAAGACCCTGTCTTATTTTCGGGGAAACACAGTTTTATTTCTGTCAGAAATAATAATAAATGGTTACAGAACCTGCAATCCTGGAAAAGCAAGATATGAGTGGAAGAATTCTCTTGAACATTATTCAGACATGAACTTTAAGGACTACAAAACTTCAGATCCCAAATGTCACTGTGACCTGTCTTCTGTTGCACTGTTCCAGACACCAACACTCACATGAACCAAAAGAAAGGAGGAGTGTTTCAAGGAGTAAGAGCTCCAGTTGGCTTAGAGGTTCTTTCAGGTTCTCTTCAATGAGATAGTGCATACAGAACTTGGTTCATTTTTGAGACTATCAATCCAAGAATTCTCTTGAACATTATTCAGACATGAACTTTGAGGACTACAAAACTTCAGATCCCAAATGTCACTGTGACCTGTCTTCTGTTGCACTGTTCCAGACACCAACACTCACATGAACCAAAAGAAAGGAGGAGTGTTTCAAGAAGTAAGAGCTGGTAGAAAGGAAGGTTAATTTTCTGAAGCTCCAGTTGGCTCAGAGGTTCTTTCAGGTTCTCTTCAATGAGATAGTGCATACAGAACTTGGTTCATTTTTGAGACTATCAATCCAAGGTGGGCAGGGAGAGAACCTGCCCGTTATTATTCAGAACTGTAACCACCATTTTGAAAGCAGACAAGAAACTTTAATGATATCATCTTTATCATGAAGTCATTCAGTCTTAGGGTACATACCTGTTCTCACCCAGGAAGATTTCATCAAATGAGAAGTGTTCAGTTGAGGGTAATAAACAGCTAAAGGTGAAAGCAGGGCAATTGAGAAACACGTATTAGAAGACTTGGCAAGGTAACAGCTTAGAATCATGAGACAATTTTATAATTCATACTGAGACAGTGGAATAAATTGGCTAAGGTCCTGGGGAAAGCCAACTGATCAAGATAATAAACATTGCCAGCTCTACATTGTGACCACTCAATTAAATTAATTAAATTCCCACATAACTATTACATGCTTCCACATTGCAGGACAGGAGGGAGGGGAAGAAAACTGAAGTACAACATCAGAAATACATCTGTCTCTATTATTAGTTACATACTGTACCAGGTTATAATGTATCACCTGCTTGAACAGGGCATCTTAAGGCTGTATGTACATAAGATTTAAAAATTGTTTTACACCTTACCTAAAATACTGCCCAAATTGCCTATAGCTATACTGAAATATATAGTGGGATGTGGCGGCGCTGCGGGGTAAACCACAGAAGCCTCTATGCAGCAAGGTCAGAAGACCAGCAGTCGTAAGATCGAATCCACGCGACAGAGTGAGCGCCCGTCGCTTGTCCCAGCTCCTGCCAACCTAGCAGTTTGAAAGCACGTAAATGCGAGTAGATAAATAGGTACCATCTCGGGGGGAAGGTAACAGCGTTCCGTGTCTACTTGCACTGGCCACATAACCACAGAAACTGTCTACAAATGCCGGCTCTACGGCTTGGGAGACAGGGATAAACAGAGCTGGATACGACTGGACTAAATGTCCAGGGGAACCTTTACCTTTTATACTGAAATAAGTTAGGCATTCTTCATTTTCTTTTTTTAAATTTATCTCTATTTTGCTTCTACAAATGGGGTCCTACATACTCACAGAAGAGCAAATTAGGCACGACAATAAGCTGGATGGATAGCTCAGTGAATGAGATATCTGGCTATGGACACAGAGGTTGGAAGATTATTTCTCCACTACATGTCTAGTCTGCATAACCTAGGGTAAGCTGCACAGTCCAAGGGGTACCCACAGAAGCAAGCAATGGTAAACCATTTCTGAATATGCTAAACCTAGAAAGCCCTGGAAAAGATCACTATAGGTCAGAACAGATTTGACAGTGCCTAATTATTATTAGACATGATAGTGGATGAGACCCTTGTAATTAGATGTCCCACTGCTTTAAAAAATATAACAGCAATTAGAGAGTCCCACTCTTGTTAGGATCATGACACAGGGCAGCACAGGGCCTGCAATCATTTAAGACATTTTACATTGTGTTTGTTTAATGCTAGGCAATCCCCCTGAAACCATCTTTTAATGAAAAAGTGATTTTTTTAAAAAAATTAGCCAAATAAACGCAGAATCAAGAAGAAGAAAAAAAAGCATCCCTATATTACATGAATACTCACGTTCTGCAATCTGCTGCACAGGAAATCCCAAATAGAAACTGAACTCCACAACAGATAGGTTTCTTAGTAGTTCACTGACTTCAGACCCATTTAAGAATCCATGTTTCTCTTGTATGCCAAAAACAATTTGCACGGGGCCTTGCCGAAATGCCGCTCTAGACCTACCCAGGGTTATATTCAATATCTGAAAAGACCATGTTAGAATTAAACAAAAGCTATTAGCATTGCTCTTCTCACTGATCCATTTTTCAAAAAAGAAAAAATGAACATCGCATACAGTTAGACTGAGTTAACAAAAAAATCACAGAGTGCTTTGAGGTGAAATGGTGTCCCAATTCTTATAGCAAATTCCATGGTCCTCAATTCCACGTCTATTACATGTTCAATGTATCACCTGCTGTTGTAACTAAACCTATGAAGAAACTATTGCCTACATTTGCTTTATCCCCTCATTTTCACTTTTGAAAATTTAATTTAATGAACTACAAGCTACACTTTGATTAACTCTTCATGTGGTGCCTTTTTTGTTCACAAGCAGGTGTAACAAAGGAGAATTCTGGACAGAAAACCTCCACCACAATGCTCAGCCTATGATGACAATGATTACTGTAAAAACATCAAAGATTCCTAAGGTATCATAAATACTAATGAATCCATTGTGAAGTAAACTTTCACGGGCCAGGAACCCTTTCACTGTATGAATTAAGCAGGCTCTTAACTTAGTGAGCATAATTCAGAAACAAGAAGAAATCCCTTTTTCTTTTGTGTCATGTTTTCGCACAATAAATCCTCAAGCATAGATTGTCTCTTTTTAAAAATCTTCATAAGCCATACAAGAGTCTTTTTGAATGAATTATTGTGCAAAAATGTGTTAAAAAGAGGAAGGAAGGAAGGAAGGAAGGAAGGAAGGAAGGAAACTGGGTTATTATATAATGATCCTGAATACTGAAGACCTGTATTCAAGATTGTCTTGTCATCCCCACAAATAGCTTCTATTCAATGCAGGAAAACCTAGGACTTTATATAGCAACTGCACCACCTCAGTAACTAAATCTGTCTTACGGTGCTTAAGTAAGTTTAGTGTACAAAATATAGTACTGTGTAGTACCTGGCTGAAACTTAAAGGTATGTGAATGAAAAAGCTCAGATTTGAGTCTCAATGTTGCTGCAAAACACCTGAGATTTAACATTCTTCTCAGCTTCAATTTCCTACCTAAAGTACAGGGACAATAATACTATTCTGCCATTCATAAGTCTTCAAAAGATTACCATACGTAAAATTTCTTTGAGTGTTCTGAAATGCTATTTCAAGGGTGTCTCCACTGTTTAAATAGTAAGATTAATTATCGCCATTGCTGCTAGGAAACCTTTCCAGCAGTAACTTTGGTTTTGTGGAATTTCCTTCTAAGGAAAATGACTTTACAATTTGCACCTTTACTCAGAAGAAAGACAATGAGGCGTACTCTCAGGTACATGTTTCTCTGACTGCATCCTTAATCATCATATAGAAGTCAATTTGTTTTCAGAAAGGTTTTTTTAGTTCACTTTTGCTCCTGTTTATTTAAAAACAGGGTCTCACTTTGGTTTTGTTGATTTTGGTACATTTGTTTTCCACCTCCTCTCCAAAAAAGGGGCCAGGGGGGTAGGCCAGGATAGAGAACACATTCCTGAAGCTCTCCCTATTGGGCTAGTGATGTTTCCCTCTGATTGGCTGGCTGGGAGGGAAGGTAAACAGAGGTCCTTGCACATCCCATGACTCCCAAGGAATTTGTTTCCGCCTGCTGAAGGAAAGAGAAGGGTGGCAACCAACCTACTGCAACCTACATTGCTCTACCAGGAACTTTCTACTATCATAAACAAAAATATTACGTTTCTGGACAAAAACATCCAGAACGATCCAACCAGCATGGCTACCATGTTGTTGCAGGGTAAGTGAGCAGGATGATCTGGGACCTGCAGGCCAAAAATGTAACTATTCCAAGCTCTGCCTATGGCAGTGGTGGTGACAGCAACACAGGATTTTAAAAGCTTGGGGAAAAAATTAAAATGTTTGAATACTGGCTAGAATATGAACATTATGTAGGAAACCTTTTCATAATAGATCACCAGTACTGCTTTTTTATACTTACTGTCATCAGTGTAAAGCAGTCACTGGGAAGAAAAAGGAAAGACATTTAAAGGGTATTTATCTCACCTGCACAGTAAAGTTGGAAATACCCAAGTGCTGTTTTCTTGCCTCCCCAAATGCAGTGGTGAGTCCCTTTTCAATACGTTGGCTGAAGTTGCAGAATCCAATGTCAATGCTTTGAGGCACAAACTGAAGCACTGAAAGCAGGAAAGTAAGTATCTGAATTATTAGATTTAAGGGGGTTGAACAAGGAATCTTCACTTCAAGAGCCAGGGGTCTGTCAGGTACAGTATCATGTATTTGTCATTCCAGCTCCAAAATTACAGGATACTTCTGCCCTTAGCACAGGCACAAGCTCAGTGGAGCACGTCACCCTTGGCTAGTAAGAAATACTTTCAAAGTACAGTAACTATTATGTCATGTTCTGAATAGTGTGAGGCTGTGTTTGTGTTTCTTTTTTTAGTTCCAACTATTTCTTGTTCTTCTGCTTTGATTTATAAGATCTGTACACTGGCATTCCATAATAGAGCATTCAAGGCAGCTAACACTAGACTATAAAATAATGTTATTCTTCATTTCTCTTTGGCATCCTGATATATTTGTTAATAAACCTGTATATCTTTTGTTATACACCTGCCCAAACAGCATCTTGTGACTGCCTTGGAATCCAACCTGGATAATATTAAGTCAGCTAATTGAGCATATCCTTGGCAATTCTGCATACGCCTCAGAATGAGGCAAATAAATTAGGACAGGCTTACATTCAAAAATCACCAGCCATTTATGGTGGGCCCCAAAGGGAATGGTAATAATCCATCTGGGCATAGACACCCATTGTTAAAGAATGCCACAACACACACACCTGGTGGGCTACATTTAGTTGTTGGGCAATGATGGGAACTGCAGTCCAATGACATCTGGAAGCCCACAGGTTGCCTACCCTTGACTTAGTGCAGCAGAGTTTACACAGGTCTGCACTGCAGTTTCAGGGAGTACAAGATGGGATGCTGCTCTTCAAAGCTGTATATTTATAAAGATCAGTGATGATACGTTTGCTGGTGTCATGAGTCCAGGAATGTGCAACAGAAGCAAGCATTTATTTAGCAAAATCCAGTACGGCATGCAAGCTTAATAAATACAGGTAAATGCCTTTATTTACTCTCAAAATGCACGTGTGTGCTCACAGAGCATAATAAATTAATATTGGGTATCAAGCATTAGTAATATTATACCTTTCATGCCTTGTTAGCAACACTAGCTTATTATTTTGCACTAGTCAAGAACTGTCAACCATTTGTTCTATATGTCAAAATGATATAAGCCTCTGTCTACGCCTAACAGTATTTATTTTCATCAAGTACTGACTTCCATAATAATGCATAAATACTGTATTATCATTAGTTATACAGATTTATACACACATCTCATAACAGTCCTAAATTTCTAATTTAAAAAAGCAACTATGAATATCTAATGGATATATTAGTCCCAACTTAAGTAGATCCATTGGATATGATTTACATACATGCAAATTTAGCATGTCTTGTTTATCCACTTGGTCCACTCTACTTGGAATTAATAACTTTATTTAACCCATGCTTTGTACCTCAGTGGCTGTACAGCTCAATGAGCAGTATACCTGGATGTGGAACTAGAAGTTGGGAATTCAACTCTGAACTATGCCTTCCAGGAGAAGAGCCAGTCTATGTAGCAATTTTCATAGTTCTACAGCATCCTGAGAAGGGACTACCATACCACTTGTTTGCATTACATGTACAGTGGTGCCTCGCTTAACGATTACCTCGTTAAATGACGAATCCACTTGACGATGAGGTTTTTGTGATCGCAAAACGATGTTTCAAAGGGCGTTTTTCGCTTCCCGATGATCGGTTCCCTGCTTCGGGAACCGATTGTTCGCATTACGACAATCAAAACAGCTGATTGTCAGGTTTCAAAATGGCCGCCCGCTGTGTAAAATGGCTCCCCGCTGTGCCTTAGGATGGATTTTTCGCTTCACAGGCATCCAAAAATGGCCGCCCTATGGAGGATCTTCGCTGGACGCTGAGGTATTTAGCCCATTGGAACACATTGAACCGGTTTTCAATGCATTTCAATGGGCTTTTTTATTTCGCTTGATGAGGAGTTTGCTCTACAGCGATTTCGCTGGAACGGATTATCCTCTTCAAGCGAGGCACCACTGTAGAACACTCTGGCAAAAGTCCCCATTAGTTGGAATCAACTTGATGGGATGTGATCATTAAGCTGGGTGGATAGCTCAATGAGTTCTCTACCTGGCTATGGAGCCAGAGGTTGAGAGTTCAATTTCTCTCAAGCTCCTGTGAGAAGAATCAGCCTGTCTAGTCTTGGGCAAGCTGCACAGTCCTAGAGCATCCTCAGAAGAAGGGAGTAAATACCTAAGAAAAAGGTTGTCATAAGTCAAAATTGACGTAACAGTGAATAATCACAATGATCTGCCCCACAACAATTCTTTGGTCAACTATAGCAAGTTATTATTTCCTCCTTTATATGGTAAGAGATACCCGGTGTGGTGTAATGAATAAAGTGACAAACAATAACTCAGAGGGCCTGGGTTCAAATCCCCACTCAGCCATGGAAGCCCCCTGGGGGTGTGGAAATGATAAAACCACTCCTTAAATATCTCACGTACCTTGAAAGCCCTATTAGGGTTGCCATAAGTTGATTCTGACTTGACAGCACAGAACATACATACGTTATATGGTAAAAATACAAGGATGATCTCATCCAGCTTACCAGTCTGCACCTGAAACTTGTAATCTGGAGCAGGGAAAGAAGGCTGCAGGGATAAAATAAGAGGCATCTGGCCACGAAGGAGACTACTATTCACAAGAGCATTGATGACAGCAATTGCTGTGTAAACAAAAGGACCCGAGGTAACCAGAAAAGAGAACTTGGGAGAAAGTCCATAAACCTAAACAAAAGAAAAATAGGAATTTAAACCACACATCTCAGAAGGAACACTACACAATGTTTTCAAAGAAAACCATTCTGTAAACAATCTTGATGAGGGTTAAATGTATAAGACCCATAAGAGCATAGAGGAATACAGCTTTTATGGAGCAACACAAATGTTGTGCACAGCCCACTGGTCACACAAACAAAATATTTAATTCTGTGAAGATTTTTTTAAAAGCAGCAGGCAAAATGTGATCAGTAGACACTCTGCAGCCTCCTAACCTATTTCTGAGCCCTTTCTGTCCCCCACATTACCCATAAATAAAAGAAGTGGGTACTTCCCCCCCCCATAAAGTTTCTCAGCCTTATGCATCCCAGACATCCCTCATCTCCAATCCGAAAGTAAAGATCTGGTAGTTTCCTGTTTGGTGTTGGTTCTGGTCATTTCCAGACCTGACATGCTTCTCAGAGGGGGTACCTGGAGTAAAGCTCTGGCCCAAGATCCATCAAAATAGCTCTTCCTTACTTTGAATGATAAAAGAGAGAGAAAGAGAAACCTATTTTGCCTTGCAGCTCAGGTTGACTTGACTCCTTTAAAATGTTACCCTTCCAAACACTGGCATATATTTTCCTTTCATTCCAGTTTATATCACTGTTGCAAATAAATAATAATAACTAACCATATCGCTAGTCTGTGTGAACAGACCTTAGTACATAATGGGATCTATGATATGTAACCCACCACTTTAACTGATGATTTGTATGCCGAGTGTTAACTATACCTCAGGTTTTATTCTGATTTAGGGCAGGTGAAGATGAAATCAATGCATGTGATGATGAAGTCAAGGGCCAGAAATGAATCAGGTAGTCACTGTTGAACAATGTGCTTTTGAATCATTGCCAGTACAAATTCTTCTGCTCTCCCCACTGCTTATACGTTCATACAATGGGAATGGTGACCTATGTGTGGCACTGCTTCACCACCCTACCATGCACATCTATGTGTGCATGCTTGAAGGAATGAGAACAAAAAACAGACAAAAAAAGAGTGCAAACTTAAGGTATAAAGGCTTCCTAGTTGGCAATTTTCTATTGGCAACATTTTATTTTCACAGCATGTTCAGTCTCCAGACTCACATTGAATCCATCTGACAATTAGAAGGCTATTACATGAGTTCACCCATTGAAAACTGATATAGCATTTCCTCATATAGTGCCATTGCAATGCATCTGTAAGAGTAAGTGATATCTTCCAGGATTGTACTGCATTATAACAACAGTGGGGATGCAAATCCTTATTTGTCTTATTCTCTGGTATTTTGCATTGCTCTTGACAAGGGTAAAAATGGGAATGGAAACTATTTTCTCATGCCAGTTCAGCAAAATTGTACACATAATACTTTAAAGCAAATTGCACAAAACGAGTTGCAAGGATTTTTGAAGATCCACTGGTTGCATCTTTTTTCAGCAATCAGCCAGTCATTCTGTTTGTTATGCATGTATGTTAGTTCTCAAAAGGTAAGGACATGTGTTTGTCCCTGCACAAATTACAGAGGTCCTGACAAGAAAAAACAGTGACTCTTATCTGTAGGTGAGGACATTTCATGAGACCTAAAAATTTCTCACTGACATGTTATGTGAAGTTGAGACTGCCAAAATCAATGAGAATAGAGACTCAGTGTCAGTATCCAACAGCAGTATACCACAGGCACAGAAGTGGGATCCAGAGCAAATGGGAGAGACAACACATCATAAACATTTCAAAGCTGTGAGCAGCAACCCAAGATAAAATGGAAGAAAACTAGCTTGCACAACATTTACCCTCAAGATGCATTGCATATAAGCCAGTTTATGCACATAGTTTAATCGTTAGCCAAGTTTGTTTTCAGGAGAAGTTTCACAGCAGGGAATACATTTCCAAGATACCCGACAACAATTCATTAGCAAAGGTGATTAAGCTGCACAATGGTTAATTTCACAACATAGCAACCTTGGCAGAATTCCACTATGAGTCATGGGACTCTTTCTTGAAGGAGGTGAGAGAACACTCCAGATATAAATTGTTGCATTAGCAAAAAAGAAAAAGGCTGCTCTCCATCCAAGATGAAAAGTACAGAATCGCAAAGTTCAGTCACAACGTATGCATGAATAACTGTGCAGAAAATTGTCTTCTTTGCATTAAAAAAAAGATTGCCCAAGAAAAAAGCCAAACCTGGAAGGTTATGTGAACTACTGATAGAAAAAGGAAACTGTAACTGCCTGAACCTCAGTTCAACCAGGAAAGACACTTATAATATAAATGAAGAAAAAAGTATCCAGAAGAATCAGTCAAGTAAGGGTTTAAACAAAATATGTCCAGTTACAGACATTAGCAAGATATTTAAGTGCATTTGCATCTGACAATGGTTCATATTTTTTAAACTACAAAATTTAGTAAATAACTATCTAGATTTTTTGTTAATATAAGCCAAAGTGATTCAGTACAGGATAACCTTTGACATGAAAGCAACACTCTGCTGAAGTGTCCAAGAGCTATAGCATACAGAGGAATGCTGCACAAATGATCTTTCCTCCATTATGCAAATTAAATTGTTGACTCTGAGACAGATGTATTTAACCCAGAATTTCCTGAATCAGCAAACAAGGGCAAGGCTATTCTCAAAGGCTTTCACGGAGGGGATCCGATGGTTGTTGTATGTTTTTTGGGCTGTTTGGCTGTGTTCTGAAGGTTTTTCTTCCTAGCGTTTCACCAGTCTCTGTAGCTGGCATCTTCAGAGGACAGAAATTAGAACTCTGTATTTTAGCTGTGAGATCAGCTTTTTGTCCTTTTCAGGAGATTGGGTAATTATGGTGAACACTGAAGAGTGGAACTGGAAAAATCGGCAGTAGCTGAATATGCCCTGAAACAAGCTATGCATGAAATCCTATTTCAAAACACAGAAGTACTGAACAGCACCAGCAATCATTATGTTAGACTACACAGGGATGCCATTGGAATCCACAAACATCAGCAAAGCTTCAACAAAAAAGAAGAAAGTCTAAAACTCAACAAAGCCTAGCTCCCAGCACTGAAAAATACAGCCTGCAAAAAGGTCAACGAACTCTACCCAGCCACAAGGACCCGTGATCACTGCACACAAAAGACTAGCTAACAACACCTATCAATCACAGTGACAGATCATTTACCTCCTTATCACAACAGTACACCCATAGCAAAAAAACACCCTGATCACCATAATCACCCAACCCCACACACTACACCAGAACACAGACATAGTTCTAACTCCTGTCCTCTGAAGATGCCAACCACAGAGACTGGCAAAACGTTAGTAAGAAAAACCAGAACACAGCCAAACAGCCCGAAAAACCTACAGCAACCAAGGACATGGCTGTTATACCAACATAAACAGTAATGTTACACTGGAAACATAGAAAAATATGGCAGAACAGGAAACAAGGCTAGAAAGGCTAGGTAAATGCAAACTGGATCCACACAAAACCCTCTTTCACTCTTTCTCTCTCTAATATTTTCCCTCTGAAAACGCCTCTGAGGTGCATAATGAAACAATAACCATCAAACTCCACACTTGTATTACATATTACTTACCTCCAATTCTACTAGTCTTCTAAACTCAGTTCTCAAGATGTTTTTGATGGATTCCGTGATGTTTTCTATTACAGATTTCTGGGCTAGAACTAGAAATTTGAATCCAATAACATGCATTAGTTTAAATCATGTGCACACCAATCTAAGTACAGAAAATGAAACTGGAGTTGAGAATGTTGAGAGAAAGCGCAAGCAACCAAAAGCCAGTTTTCCCTCTACAGCAGCTGGGCACAGATGCATGAATACCAAAATGTATGCATCTGTTTTCATATCAGAAAAGTGTGTGCATGCAAAATATGGTCAGTGTCACTTTAAAACATTTGAAAGAAATACCTTGTCTTTACACATTCCCTTATTCCAAATATTTCAAAGCTGAAACTAAAACAAACAAAAATAATCCACCCACATACCCCTCTTCTAGGTTTGACTAGAAGTATGTGCATTTTGTAGTCAAGTCCAACATGTAAAGGGGGGATTGGGTTCTTATGCTCAGTCTCACGCTAAACCATGATTAATGAATTGGTGCAACTGTGCTTTGCCTTCTAATTAGAATTACTCATCTAATTTCAGAAGAGGTCTGTGAAATGCAGGAAGAAGACATGTACATGCTTTTAGGTGGATTAATGGTAGGGTGCATTAACATTTGATGGGCTCATAATTACATGTCTGCAAATGGGGGAGAGTGAACATATAAAGCTGGTGCATGTTGAGACTATCGGTTCATTTAACCCATTGCTACTGTAACCGGCTAGGAAGCAGCACCCTGCAGCCCACTGTTTAACTGAACTAAATGGATGCATTCGAGTTATCAGTTCAAATCTCTGAGAGAGTTTATGCCCTCGGACAGAAACGCAAATTTAACACTCCTCTAGGCATAAGCAGGCCAATTTTATAGATCAGCAATACAGTATCTGTAGACAGAAGGAGACATATTTCGAAATACTGCCAGAATTCCACTTGACTTGATAGTTTAACATCTTCTGGTATTCTTAGGAAAAATAGCACTCATGTTCTACACCAGCTACAGCCTTTGAGCATGCTTTAAATAGAGAAACCCTTCCACCCCTCTAAAACTTTTCAGGAGGGCAATTTTAAGACTGTGAAAAAATCATGGGCAGCCGCAAAATCTCACTTTGTAAGAAAGATTGATTTAAAAGCAACAGTTCTTTGATCACTATTGCAGTACTGTATAAAACCACAAGTGTAGGAACAGATCAATGATCAGTATTAGGTTGTAAACTAAGAAGGTGAAGGATGTTGAGCTTCACAAGGACAAAGGAACCTATTTCTTATCACTTAGTCCTGTAGCCAACCACTGACCAGAACTCAGTGTTAGTCAGTTCACCTGTGTCCAACACCTGGCCATGACAGAAACATATTCAAGAACAAGAGGGACAGTGAGAAACAAGTGTCATTGGAATACTTAACAGGACCTTTACATGTACCTTCACAAAATGCTGGCCATGTTAATTGTAATAATCACAAAGTTTGTATGGCAGATGTGCATGCAATTTCTTCGAATTTCCTATGTTTCGTTGCTTCAATTGTTATTCATATCACAAATATTTTCTCTTTAGGGAATCCAGTTTACTGTGACTTTGATCATTGCCTACCCCAACAGCAGATCTCTAAAAAATATTCTGATGAGCTAATCACATATTAATTTTAAACATCTTAATAAATTTGTAGAACAGGAAGTCTGGCCCTCTGTAGGTAAGCCATTTTAGTAATGGATTACGCAACTATTTTGGGCTATGGGGGAACCAGGGTTCAGAAGGGACAAAATTACTTTAGAGAATACAGCTGAAGGGATAGATGTCAAATATTCTAAACAAATAAAAATACTAATGAGCACAGTGCTTGGGAGAGAGAACTAGTATATGCAATACACATAACAGCTGTGACTCACAACCTAGGACACAACTATATATTTCTTTAGCACAATTTTATCAAATCAGATTTTTTTAAAAAAAAACTTTTAATAAAAAATATTTTAAAAAATATTCTTACCAGCTATTACTAAGTATTTATCAGGGACTGTGATATCACAAACGTAGGATTGTCTAGTTGTAGTCACTGGAACAGTTGCCATTGTGACTTCTGGTGTAGGGAGAAAAACTGAAGTTGAAACGGATGTAGAAGAACTTTGTGTACTGCTGGTTGTTTCAGGAAGGCCTATTTTGCTACTAGTAGTGGTAGCAGTAGACGTTGTTACGCTGGAGAACTCTGTTCCACTAGGTCCAGTTGGAATGCTAGAATCAGTTGAAGTATTCACAGATGAAGGCATCACTGTAGATACAGCTGACGACCCTATACTTGCTGATTCTGTAGAGGAGACTCTAATGCTGCTTATTTCTGTGGCCAATGGTGGCATATAAAGAGTAGTTGTTAAAAAATTTGTGGTAGGAGCTGCCTCAGTAAAAAAGGAAACCATACTAAGATTAGCAGTAGCACCGGTGACCTCAACAACAGGAGTGACAGAAACAGCAGAAGGAAAGAGGGATGCAGATGTCAGGACAGGAGTCATCTGCAATGAGGAGAACCATAAGGTCACATTTGGTTCTTCACCCAAAATATTGCTGGTGAAAATAGGCTCTGAAACAGAGGTGGGCAGCACCTGCATAGGAACAGTTGCCTCAATGGCTAGGGATGATGACTCAAACTGAGAGGTAGCTCCTGTGATAGCTGAGGTAAAGTAAAATTCAGATTCCATAACTGAAATTGATGTTGGTTCCAGAAACACAGAGGAGTTCATATTGAAAGTTGATAATGGCACTGTTGTAGAACTTTGAAGGAATAGAAAAGAAGATGAGTTTGAATAAAGCAATGAAGGTTGCCATGAAGGCAGCTGGGAAGCCTCTGAGCTTGTGATGTCAACAGCTGGGAGCTGAGATGAACCCCAACTAGAATTATCGAACAGCACAGATGATGGAAGGAATGTGGGTGAAATGTGAGGTAACAATGTTGATAAATCACTTGGCATTACTAAGGAAGATGTGGCTCCAGAAGGTGACAAATACGATGAGACATTTGGCTCAAAGGAGAAAGGCGTTAATGAAAGGCTGGATGGAATGTCTGATCTATTTACAGCAGAGTCATCTGTGGGAAACCCCTCAACTGTTATGCCAATGACACGCATAGTTTCTGATGGCATCAATGCAGGTGTTTCCAACAGAGTTGAATTCTTGATTGTCATGGATAGCGTGCTCACAGTTTCAATGAAGGCAGATTCAAGGGGGACCGTTGCAACAACAGAGGGTAGTTCTTCCATAATGCTAGGCATTAACTTAGTAATTTCAGTTACAGAGCTGTGAAGAATGACAGAAGTGCTTTCCAGTAAAATATCAGAAGACTGGTTGTAATAAGGGAAAGGGGAAATTGGTGTGAATACGTTTTTAAGGCTAATTTCCACTGCATTTGAGTTGGAGACTTCTGTAAACATCGAAGAAAAGGAAACCACAGGTCTTGAAGGGAAAGTAGTATCAAAGATTTCGGGAGAAGACTCCTGCATGTCGTACAAGTCACTAACTACTGATGTAAGTGGTGTAATATCTTTCATTTCAGTGGCCATAAAAGACAATGTCTCAATATAATCACCTGAGCCCACATCATTGTCTGATGGCTGCAATGAAAAAAATGGCTCTGAAGGAACTGAAGTAACATCACAGGATGAACATGGAGCATATGGTCTAGTGAAAGGCACTGAACTTGTGGAGTCACTGAAGAACTCAACTTGAGTTGGTATTTCTGAATTGCCAGGTAAAATCAGGGCTGTACCTTTGGAGACTTTATGGGGAAACTTATATGTAAACAATTCCTCACTGAAGAGACTATCAGAAACAGTCTGAACTACAGCTGGAAGAACAGGGGAGGAAACAAAAAAGTGTGTTGAAAACATAACACTCCCTGTGTTAGCTAATGAAATAGGTGCTTCCTTTAAAATGCTCAGAACAGATAAGCTTACATCAAGAGCTCCTTTTGCACTACTATTAATACTATAATAGGCTTCAGTGTATGTGTTAGTACTTCCTGTCATAATATCTGGCATGATACGGGTATCCTCACTTAGCTGTCTCATAAACAGAGGCGACCCTTCCACAGTAGTATCAAAAAGTGAAGATGTTGAGGGGAATACATTAAATGAGGAGCTTTCCCATTCTTTTCCAACTGTTGCATTCACCCCCTCCAATTCCATGGAATTTAAATAAATTGTGGACATCTCTAAGTCTTTGCTTGGAGTCAAAGTTATATCTGTCAAATCAAAAGGATTCAGATATGGGGAAAGGACATGGGGGACATAGGCAGCCCTTTGGAATGTTGTTTGCAGTGCTTCTGCGTAGTCCAGGACAGACAATGAAGGGGTTACTAACAAATTTTGTAATGGGACTCTTGTTGGCTTCACTGGATAGGATCCCGAATTATAGTCCTCAGTAAAAGATTTTAATGATGGAGTCTGTTGTTCATTTGGAAATGAGCTCATAAATCTGTCATCCATTAACACAACCTCATTATTTGTTACTGAAATATCCAATATTGGTATGTTTTGTCCAACTGAAATTCTACTTGTTCCTTGTTGATCCAATGAGGTCACCTCAGAAAGAGAGGTAACGGATGGCAACAACTCATCAGGAAATGCAGTATTTGCCTTGAGATTTGTTGTGCTTTTTGTTAAGGCTTTTTGTGTCATGTTGCCCACAGTGCTTTGACTTGGCAAAAAGAAGGAAATGTTCTGGTGCTCCGAATGTGGGTCATCTGAAATTTTAAAAGGGGAAAGTAAATTAATACTGGTGTTAAATAAAACGAGGATGAACACACTGAAATGTCAAAATCCTGTAATGATTCGCTAAACCAGTGCTTCCCAATCTTGGACAACCCAGGTGTTCTTCAGCACCAACTTCCAGAAACCCCGGCCAGCACAGTTGGTGGTGAAGGCTTCACCTGTTTTTTAGAGGTTATGGAAATTATATTTTAATTGTAATATATTGCTGGTCTTTGACCGTAAATAAACAATTGATTGTGAAGGGTTCTGGAAACTGCACTCCAAGAACACCTGGATTACCAAATATTGGGAACCACTGCACTAAACCAACATTTGTTAGACTGAGTCTGCAGAACAACACATTAAATGAGGCAAAACGTGAGATGAACCCCTCTAAATTAGTGATATTTGAAACTTCTGCTTTGAGACAATGCACTTGTTTGCTGGGAGAGCCACTCCCCATGTCATCCACAACACTTCTGTGTGCTACAAAATCTTCCAGATTGTGTTTTTTGTCCACCATCAGTTTATATACAATGTCAGCTAGACCTAGGGAACCTTGAGTGAACTGAAAATACACCCCAGAATACGTGAGCTATTTTATTTAAAAAGACTGGCCCATAATTGGTCCAACTTGTACATGAAACCACCTCATCCACATACTCTCCCTTCCTTAATAGGAATTTTCCTTGAGTGAGGGAGAGGAGATGCTAAGAAGTAAAAGACAAGACAGAGTATTATGATTCCCAAACTTGTAGTCATCAATATCTAGCAGCAGGTAACACTTGTGCTTGTAGAGAAACCTTCATGTGATCTCTCTTGCCACCTGGAAGGATTTTTCCTGGAAATGAGGATCAAGTTTAGATAAGAAGGCAATTAAACCAGTAGCCCAAATCAATGGAGGGCAAGTAGAAGACCATCCATCGTTCCTTCTAGAAGACAAACTGAATACAATTACACTAAAATTTAAGATGAGTTTCTCTCTTTGCTCTAAATTTTGGTAAATCTTTACAGAAATTTTCAACTCCTCGCAAAAAATGCTCTTTCATCAATCATATAATTATTTACCTGAGCTACTTCTGAATAAAAACTCCAATTAATCTTTTATTTAGAATTATTTTGCAAGCAGTTCATGGTTTGTTTTTCTTCTGGTAGTGGCATGCACATAATCAAAATATTTAAGGGTAGCAATAGCTTTGTGAGGACATAAAGCCCCCCTCTGCTATTCTCCTTTGCACTCAATTTAGCATTGCTCCTTCTTCAACAAGTGGCCTGAACAGAAGGCTGGCTGAGGGAAGAAAATGTATAATATAAAACTTTGAGACTCTGTCAACTGTCAAGTGTCTGTCAAGTGTCAGGGAACAACATGTGACAGTTTTCCACCTGTATAAAAGTTTCCTGGATCACACTTAGGTTGAGCAACTAGAGAACCATTGGTCATTTCCTGTTTTCATTATGAATTTCAGCTTCTTCTTCTTCTCGGTATATTACTTGGGGCTAACATCCCCAGAAAACATTGTTTTGACAGTTTGGACTTGGTCTCCATGAGACCTAAAGCATGCACAGCACATAGATGGACAACTCGGACTGTTGACACATTACTATTCCAATTCAGAGATCTTGTACTGATGCACAGTTACTCTGTCTAGCCAATTTATTTTCACACAACATACATAAATCATGACAACAAGGAAAATCTAAAGTAGACATTTCCAAACTCTGTCCTAGGGTACTCTGATGTTTTTGAGAGCTTAGCACGCACATTTTAATGAGGAGATCGGGAAAAGAAAGCAAAAAGAAAACCAAAAATTAAACCCCACAAAATACTGCAATACCTAAAAGACATAACCAACTTATTTCAGTGTAAACTTTTGTGGATCAAACTCCACTGGAAGGCCAATACATGACCTGTCTATTTATATCCATATGCTCACCCAGTCATTGGGGAAAGTCACTATATAAGCAAGTACTTGTGGAGATTGTTCCCTAAAGGAGGAACATTTGGAACAATGATTCAGTGAAAGGCACAATTAGAGGAGGTAAAATTGTAAAACAATTTTAAAACAAAAGATTCGATCAAATCCTTCTCCAGTTAAAATAACTGCCTTGTAGCACCTTAAAGACTAATATTTTTTTTAATTCTACAAAAGTGTTTGTAAGCTGCAGTCCACTTCATGAGACAGAAACAATAATATGCCAAATAAAACCTCTCAGGCATTAGATGCTAACTATAAGAATCTTTATTGTTTTTGTAGCAACTGATCAATATTACAGGTGTGCTCTTCATTATCTTGGACTCCAGCTGCCAGAATTCTCCAAGAATTCCCACTGCAAATTTCTGGGACTTTCAACCCACAAACACATACCTACAGACACTTACATTTCATTCACTTCGAACTCGCCCTAGCTGCAAGGCTGCATGGCCTTCTCCAGCCTTCATTTCCTGTTGTTATTGTTCAAAAAAACAGGGGGGGGAAGAGCTGTCACAGTGCTTCCTAGGAGTTATAGTTCTTTGGAAGGCCTCCTACAGAGCCTAGTAGGCAGAATGTAACTCCCAGAAAGTACCACAATAGCCTCTGTTTTCCCATCCACATTAAAAACAGGAAACAAAGGACAGAGAGGACCGTGCAGCCTCAGAGGTGGCCACCGCTCCACGTGAGCAAAAAGTAGGTGCACAGAGGTGTGTCCCAGAATTCTGCCTGGTGAATTTCTCAAGAATTTGGGGAACGGTAGTAAAACAACAACAAAATTGACCCTTTTAACTGTAATTGCTATAATTGCTAACCCTCTAGAAGTCTACGTAAAAGGCAAAGGTTCCCCTGGACATTTAGCTCGGTGCTTATCCCTGTTTCCAAGCCATAAAGTCAGCATAAAGTCAGCCATAAAGTCAGCATTTGTCCATAGACAGTTTCTGTGGTCACGTGGCCATCGCAACTAGACATGAAATGCTCTTACCTTCCCACCATGGTGATACCTATTTATCTACTTGCATTTACATGCTTTCGAACTGCTAGGTTGTCAGGTGCTGGGACAAGCAACAGAAGCTCACTCTGTTGCATGGACTCAATCTTAAGACTGCTGGTCTTCTGGCCTTCAGCACAGAGGCTTCTGCAGTTTAACCCGCAGCGCCACCAGAAGTATAGAAGTCTACTGGGAATTAATTAAACAATCTCATCCATGAAAACAATGGAACTTTGGATCCATTCTCAACAACAACAACAATTCCTTCTAACTAATACAGTGTGCCTGTGAAGAAACGCCTTGTAATGCATACATGATTATTTCTTCTTCTTCTTCTTCTTCTTCTTCTTCTTCTTCTTCTTCTTCTTCTTCTTCTTCTTCTTCTTCTTCTCCTTCTGTGTTTTAGATCTCCTTAACAGACTTTGTCACAGATGAAATGTGAATACTAGTCAGCAATCACTTATTTAAAAAACAAAATATTAGAACAGCTAGAAGATATACATGTAAGAATTCTTTGTATTAACACAAAGCTTGCTTTAGTCCAGAGGAAATTCAAGAAAGGGCAACTGATTAAAAAAGGAAAATAAAAGGCAACTATGATCTACAAGCTCGACTGCCATAAATAATTGCATATCATGGTTCAAGTTACTAGGAGCAATGACATTTTTTGGCATTTAGCTATATATGATGTCATGAAACAAGACCATAGTATGCAAAAGGCATACAGAACTTCAACTGGGGTCATAAACATAATTCCAGAAGGACACCAATATTTAATTGTCTTGCTGATTAAGACAGTCTACTTCCCTTAATACAATAGTTCAATTGTCTAAAATTACGAATGGTTGGTTGTTTACCTTCAATAAGGACCAAAGCTGTAGGCCAAAAACAGACATTGGAAAGCTGAAGAAATACATGCAAGATTATTTTTATTCACAACACATGACACTTTCTCCCACATCGAAAAAGTGAACATTAGGCAGATATGATAAAGACCAAGGTACTGTCTGTAAATAAAGCAGAGTAGTAAACTCTCTTCTGATTAACATACTGGCCTATAATTTATGCAGAATTTCCCCCATGTCCTCATAACCTAGATATCCACAGGGAACGTTTTCACTGACACAGATTCTAAACCACGGTGACAGTCAAAGGAAACAACAGGCTTTAACTTTGACTGATCTTCAAAATGTTCAAGTCAATTATTTTTTGCTACTGATTAGCCAAGCTTGCTACTATGCCTCAAGTTTTAGAAACAGGTAAGACAAAGTATCTTAATCCCAAACCTGTGCTCCCTCAATGAGTTTTTCAGCCCACAATTCTAGGCTCATGTGCTTGAAAGTAAGAAAACACGGAACTGTCATATGCAGAATCAGACCACCGATACATCTAGTCCAGTCCTGTCTTCTGAAACTGGCAAGGTTTCAAGCAGAATTCTTTCCTAATTCTTCCTGGAGATGCCTTATATTCCCTGGTGATTTCCCATTGAAGTACTGACCAGGCCAAACCCCATTTAGAGACCGGTATGGTGGTTACTTAAATGTCCTACTGAACATAGTGCAGCAAATTAGTTGATCCAAAGACTCTCTTTCAGGCAATAAACCTGTTCAATCCCATATACTCTATTTGTAACTTTTTTGGAATACTGTTATACACCACCGAGTCACATCTAATTTATGGTGACCCTAATAGGGTTGTTCATGTAATGTGAGATTTCAAACATTGGTTTTACTCCTGTCACGCTCCAGGGAATTTTCACAGCCAAGCAGGGATCTGAGCCTAAGTCTTCTGAGTCCTAGTCTATCACACTATCCACTGTATATATGTGTGTGTGTTCTAGAGGGTGGTGCTGGGAGACAGTTGTCCATGGCGTTTATGTCATGGGGCTCCTCGGGACTCGATACTGTCCCCCATGCTGTTTAACATCTACATGGAACTGCTGGGAGAGATCATCAGGAGGTTTGGGCTGAAGAGCGAAGAGGCTGCTTCCTTGTACCGTAGCTCTTTCACCCCAATGGTTACAGCAGGAGCC